ATAAGAACATAAATAAGATAAAAGTTAACTAAGTAAAAGAAAGGAAATAAGAATCATAAATTTGATATTAATACAAAGAGAGAAAACAATAACATGATCTTGATCTAGAAACCAAGATGACTAGATGCTTAAATGTGTGATAAATACCTCCTTTTATAAGTCAAAATTGAGAACTATTGATTTATTGATTAATTGTTGAGTGGGTGGCCACATCTTGACTTGGTGACAATTCTTATCTTCTTATCTAAACAAAACGTCATTAATAACGTCATAATTTGAATCAACCTTACTCATGAAAGTTTTAGGAAATTGTCTTAGCTTTTTAGAAAAGACAATTGAGGTCATTTGGACTTCTAGAACTCGAGATATGGGCCGAACACTGAACAGTGTTTGGGCTGCAGGATAGATTTAAACTTTTATGTTGTTGCTAAGATTTGGACTTCCAAACAACAGAACTGAGTTTTGCCTTTCACATGAAAGTTTTAGGCATATGTTTTAGCTTTCTATCCATATAAAGCAGACCTAAATCTAAGTTCTACAACTCTCGTTATGATCCAATTACTGAACAGTGTTCTAGTTTGGACTAAACCAACATCTCTTTTCTAAGCTTCACCCTCTCTTTATCTTTTTCATTTCAGTACTTCAACTCATCAATCAATTCTTTTATTTATGTGATAGGCCTACATTTAAGATGAACATTTACCATAAATTAAAGGTATCTTATGGTATCAGACTTGTTATTATAAAACATGTTTTAGTTAAGGAGTTATTGATACTTCAAGTACAAAATGATGAAATAAAACCTTCATAAAAATATATTTTAAGTACTAATCAGAGGGCTTTCTATAATTTTTCTTTTTTTATGGCATAATAAAAAGACGTTGGTGCCTTCAATGTCCAATAATTCAACCCTTAGGTAAAGGATATTTCTGTTATTTTATTAATATTTTTTAAAAATATAATTAATGGGTTGGGATGAGGTCATTTAAGTATTTTAATAAATAAAAAGAAATTAAAAAATACATTATCAACTCGTCAGCATATTTACCACTCTGTCGTCTTAGGATGGTGCATATGGTTGATTTAGGAGGTCAAATTATTGTTTTGGGGTTGCTTATGATGCATTTCAGCATATTCTCTATGAAATAACAACGCATGCATGGATAAGTTTGTTGGTTTGTTGCCAACAATCATTTTTTTTCTTTTCCTTTCTTTCCTCTCTCTTCCTTAGTCTTTGTACTAGCTCTTCAATTTTTCAAATCAACCATTGAAATTCTCTTTTATTTTGATTTAGTCCATTTTATTTTGGTTATTATTTGTTTTATTTAAATAATTTATGAAATTCAAATTTTATTTCAATTTCATCCCCATTCAAGTTCTTGATTTATTGTATTTGGTTTTGATTTTTTAATAGCTATTTATAGAATCTAAGATAATTTTTTATTTTTTATTTTGCTCTTTATTTTTTTCCTATTAAATTTTATCCTCATTCTTTTTATCGTTGTTTTTTTTCCTCGCAAAATTTTTAAAATTATTTTTTTATTTGATTTCATCCTTCAACTTTTAATTTGTTTGGATTTTAGTTTATTGGTTAAGCTCGTATTTAAAATTTCATAGGTTGTAATATTTGAAAATTAACCTAGCTTTAGAGGGTTTGCTTAAGATTTATTTGTTTTATTTAATAATTTTTAAAGCTAATGTTTTTTTCTAGTTTTATCATTTAATATTTATTTAATTGAAGATTGAATTATATTTTTATCCAACTTTCCGTGTCCTTTGTTTTTTTTTTTTTTATTTTTTTTTTATAGATAGATTTTATTCTTGAGTTAAATAGAATGAATTTGATGAAGATAAGTGGATGACCATTTTTTATTTTTGTTTTTTTTTCTGCGACATTGTTCTAGCAACCCATGAGATTTCTTTTAATGTTATCATGTATTCTTTTGTAATGAGATTTAGATTATCTCTACAAAGTTTTTTTGGTATTGTCAATAATGAAATGACAATAAATCTTTAACGACCGTTTTTTTATAGTTTCTCAATATAATATTGATGGCTTAATGCAACCCATGAGATTTCTTTTAATGTTATTATGTATTTTTTTGTAATGAGATTTAGATCGTCTCAACAAGGTTTTTTTGGTATTGTCAATAATGGAATGACAATAAATCTTTAACCATCATTTTTTTATAGTTTCTCAGTATGATATTGATGGCTTAATTGTTTTAGTTAATTATTACCAAATATTTTTTGTATAGCTGGTTTTATATTATTAACAATCATTAAAATTATATTATTATATTACTTGATTTTATTGAATCTAATTAAGTTGATCAATTAAGTATTATGTTTTTCTTGTTTTTTTTTTAAATACTATCATTATCTAAACATTTATATTATATATTTTTTTTTTAAATTTTTTTTAACAAACCCGCATCATAACGCAAATCATCTGTGCAGTCAAAATCTAATAGGGACATCCTAGTAGGGCGATTTACAAAATAAGAATTATACAAGGAAACCTGTGGCAAATATGACAATAAATACTCCCTTGAACATCGGGGAAGGTCGGGCATCGTCATAAAAACTTTTAAAATGAATCCTAATTAAACGGCAGAGTATTAACAAATCATGTCTTTTCTTGCAATGCCTATGTTTGTTCTAACAGTACCATATTCGACATCCACTTCAACGAGGTTAGTGGGAGTGTCCTTATCTCCTAGGGTAACCTAAACCTTATTTCTCTTTTGGCCCTTTGACTCAACGTGCATGATACGTGCATCTGAGAGCAATAAAACCAGAAAAATAAAGGGGAGGTGATACCAAACGGAACTCGGAGATCCAATTACAATTTACAAATCCAAAGAACCTCTCCTTCCATTCCATTTTTTTCATTCTCTCTTTCAAAGGAATCCAAAATCCGCCCCAAAATATATCCCCCATTCTTATTTTTATTCCAATTTTTCAAATATCCTCGTTCAATTTCATTACTTTTGAGAAGTTCCCATCAATATCCGTTTTTTTTTTTTTTGGTTTTATGAGATGAAGTTTTATGCACAAATTTCTCTCCACAACAAACCCATCATCGTAGCATATGGAAGACAATGAAAACACTGCTCAAAAGGTGCTCGATTTTTATCCCATGTCTCCCCTTTGGGGTTTAATTTAGTTTCTTTTGAGGCAATGGTTTCTGGGTTTCTTTTCTTTTGTGATGAGAAATGGTTGGGAAGGATACTAAATGAACTGGGTTCTTGATGATTCATTTTATGGTGCCCTAGAGGATTATTGGTATTCTTTGATGTATATGTGGACTCAGTTGCTCTTGTTTTATACCAAAAGGGAAGTTATTTTATTCTATTGTTGTTTTGTACTGCAGTTACTTGAAAGTTCTTGTCGAACTGAGTAAGCTTGTATTGGTCGTTAATGGGTAACGTTTAAGAAATGTAGGCTTCGTTTGATCACTGATATGGTAGGAAAGCAAAAGAATTCAAGTTTCTTTCCCCTACTTTTTGGCTATATGATTCTTCCTATCGTACTTGCTTAAATTTCCTCTTTTTGGTAATGCAGTTATGCTTGCTCTTAGAACAGAGGCATCAAACCATGACTGGTTTATTCTTTTACAAGCTTGTTCAATTGTAGCATAATTGACATCCTGCAATCTTAAATGCTCCCTCTGTTTTATTACTTATACTTTCAAGTGAAACTTTACTACACCAATGTTTCTTTTCTTCCTTAATTACTAGGTGATCATTAAATGTAACATATATTCAAACAACGAACTCTTAAGTTAAAAGGTTCAGGAATATTTTTGTTTTTTTGAGGGGAGAGTTGGGGGACTGTTCAATGTCAGAATCATGTGACAAGAAACTGGATTTTCTATAGATCAACATATCCTCATCAACTTCCAGGTCTTGTTCAACTGTTGGTACCTTTCATCTGGTTTGGCAGGTGGGTGCTGCAGATACCTTTCAATCCGTGTATGCATTTTGGTATATCGCATGACATCAAACTATTGGCAGGTGGTGGTCTATGAGTGTCATGGTCATATGGCTAGAGAAATGCTAAAGGATAAAGGGTTTCTTCTCTTACAAACATGTTACTGGATAAAGAGTTTCCTCTCTTATAAAGTTTTGTACTAGAAAGCTCGTTTGCAATAAATGATTATGAGACTGAAGTATATTAAAGAGTTAGGGAACGCCGAAGAAAAAAATCTTGAATCTTTTTTGATCAAGCATATCCATACTTTCTTCCTTAAGTTGTGCTATCCTCTTGTTAGTTAAGTAGTGTAATGGAAACTATTTATATCATAATCCTGTTTTCTGGTGTTTGGTTCCATTTATTAAGGTTTCTTTTTCAGGGACCATTTAATGATGGTTTCAGGTGTTATGTCTGTGAACCTGTTATTTATAATGCTTTCCCATTGTGTAGATTTTAGTTTGCATGTCAACGTTTTGTCTGTTTCATCTTATGAGAAAGACTTGCTCTGTATAGGATTACTACAAGATTTTGGAGGTTGATTATGATGCAACAGATGAGAAGATAAGATTAAATTACCGAATGCTTGCACTGGTTAGTGGTGCATCTGCTCTGAGCAGTTTCTTATGTGAGATTTGCATTTCTCAATTCAATAATAGTTTTCTTCTACAACTTTGACATTGACTAAAAATTTCGTGATATTTTTGTTTGTTTATAGAAGTGGCATCCTGATAAGCACCTGGGTGATAGTGTAGTTACCGCCAAATTTCAAGATATCAGTGAAGCTTATAAAGGTAACTCTCATGCATGCACTCAAGCTCGAGTCCTTTATTTTGTGCAATGCATATTTTTTCTAGTGCATCAATTGGGGAAATTTAGTTTGTCACTCTGGCCCAATTACTTTGTTTGCAGCTTTCAGAAATTAATGAATTGTTTTATTAGAATTTTCTTGCAAAATGCATATAATATTCAAGTAAAATTCAGATGAATCAAGGCAAGCTATTAATCTATATATAAATTGCAGTTGCTATGAGCTGACTTTTATTTAAGGGCCTTTGAAATACGTGTTGGAAAACTGAACACGTGAGTGATGCTTAAAAAAAAAAAACAAGTATCATAGCAATAGATGTACCATATTTCGTGCACTTTCAATAGACTAATGCACACACATGTGCATCATAGAGAGAGAGAGAGAGATGTGCCTTCACACACATACACACTATGTGTGTATATCCTCTCCTACTTCAGGGAGAGAAATGTGCACTCACACCCGGGGGTTTGCATATGCACACTAATTTATGCATTTCTTACTTTGGATCTCCTCCTTTCCAAGGAAGCAGAGCTTGTTTCCTGTTACACAGGAAACTATGCAGAAAGTAATTGACATCCTATTTTCAAACCACATACCCCTTTTGGCTTAAACAAATCCATGAATCTGATAATTTCTCAAGTTAAATGCTATAGCAATAGATGATGCAGTAGCAATGTTCAAAGGTTCTACAGAGCGGTGTGTCTTCACTTTGATTACTTCTGCTTGTTTCATACTCATGTTTTCTTCTGCAGTGTTGAGTGATCCAGCTAAACGATTTGAATATGATTTAACTGGAATATATGAGATTGATAAGTATACCGTGCGGGTAAGAATTATTTGGTAACATCAATTCCAGATGGCAGAATTCATACTTGTCAGGTTGATTTCATCTTTGGGTATAATTTATTGATGCTCATAAAGATATTCTGTTACTGTAATGCAGGAATATCTCGCCAGATTTAAAGGAATGATACTTACATGCAATGGGCTTGGTATCAGTAATACATCAACATGGTAATCTTCTAACAGCTTTCTGTAGAGAGATTTTCCTTGGAAGAGTGCTTCACGTTAAATGTACTGGCCTTATGTTAGATGGCATGTTTATGGAGTTCTCATGCGGTGTTAAAGTGTAATTAGAAGGGTTGCCAATATGGTATAGGGTGAAAACACTGGAAATGGAATTCTGCTGGATTTATGAAGCACTAATTTGTATATTGGCTTTATAAATATTGTGGAGAAAATAGAAGTTTGGGTAATCTACTTATAGTATAGCAATGAAGGAGACCACAAATATGGGATAAAGTGCTCGAATCTTTTCTTTTGGACCTCGATTTCAAAATGAAATCTAGGAGCTCCTTCTTCATCAACTTTCACAATTCAAGTTGGCAATGGTGTCCAGGTTATTTGCATTTGTTAACCAGGAAACAACCTAGATTTTCAATCAAGTTTGACAGAATGAATTATGCAAAATTGCCACCAAAGTTTCATTCAGTGGGCATTGGGCACTTACATGACATATTCTTTCTGTCCTGCTAATTAAAATTTTCAGTGGGTTTGTGTGTTTTAGTTTGATGAAACATTTCAGGTTGGTTGGAATGGTTTGTGGTCTCATTGATGAGATCAGGAATAGACAGTGTAGGAAATGATGATGCAACTGATTACATACTAAACTTATTTCAAAACCTCCAAGTATTTGTTGTAATTTGAAGAGAATGGTGATTGAGAACAAAAAAAGTGTAAGGGTTTATGGTGGAAATAAGGATGTGATTACTTGTTTGGTGGCAGGTTTTTCTTCGAAATACTTTTAGCTGTCACAGGGTTGAACAAATCCCTCTTAATTGGAAAGGAATCATGTCATAAAGGAAGGTGGTGTAAAATCTCAAGAATAAAGGGGGCTTGACAGGATCTTGTACAAGCCAGCACAATAAACTTGTGATGGTCCAAAGGTCATTCATTGTCTAAGATCAAGCAAATTCAAGTTCAATGAACCTCCTTTTTGTTCTCCTTTTGCTTTCATAAATGCAAGATTTTTTGACAACGGAAGAGCTGAATATATTTATTCTACGTTTTGATATGATGTTGCTGTCAAATAACCATCCCAATCCAAAAATTTAAGTTGAGTGAAACCTCGGAAATGGTTTTTTTATTATCTTCTAACATCCCTCTTAAGTGAAATCCTTTTAGGTTTAAAACTTGAATAGACTCATGCTAGCTTGTGCTATTGTATGTTAATTAGAAGAAAGAATAAGGGTGATGAGTTTCGAAATCATTGGTTGTTTAGTTAGCAAGACATTGATACCATGTCAAAAACCATCTCTACTGAAAGCTTAAAGTTGTTTGGTGAAGCTCTTTAGGAAGTTTATATTTTAATCTCTAATAGTTGCTAAACTTTTATTTGAAGTTTAGAAATTCCATCAAATTTTGATCCATGAATGAGAAAGTGATGATTCTTCCTTATAATTGTTCGGTTATGACTTTGTTAAGCTGTTGTGGTATTGTGTGATTGTTGTGGTGATTGCTTCATGCTTGAAGCCTTGAAAATTCACAAGCAATTTTGAACTTGGGAGATACAGGCAATAGGATCAGGATCATAAAGTGTCTTTTAGAAATATGAAGTGTCATCGAACTTTACATATTGGAACCTGTGGACTTTCATTTTGTCAGTGGTTTCTCTTGCAATATTTGAAAGCTATGAACTGAAAGTGCATCAGTCTCCTTGTGCCATCTTAAGGATTCCATCCAACAAAGTTATACATGCACCTGTGGCTGTATTTTGGTTAATATGATCCATCAATTGAATCAGTTATATTGTATTGCTTACATCATTAGTTACAATCTTGGTGATAGTGCAGGACCCAGCAACTGACTGAAACCAAAGACTTGGCAGAAAAATAGGGTGCGATTCCAGCCTTGAACCTATGTAAGTCGCCATATATCATGATCTGCTTGTTTTCTACCGATGATGGATATTAAGTGAACCTGAACCTATGCTTTGTTTTGTCCACTTAAATTTCTTTATGGATTTGAAATAGGGATGAAAGCATGAATACCATGGTGTGAAAACAACGTTGGAACAATCAAGTAATATATAGATGCAGGTGGAGCTGGTTGCGATGTTCCATTACAGATGAAAATGTTAACAATCTAGAAGATGAGCTCAATTGGATTCACATACACTCTTCTAGTTCAGTCATGACAGGAAAACTTTGCATTCTAAGGTCAGATTGTATTCATGGGAGCCCACAGTTCTTAGATGTAAAATGACGAAGATACAAGATCTTTAGGACCCATGGGTCATTCTTAATAACAAGATGATTGTTTTTACCAATGTTTCACAAAATAAACCTAACAGCTCTTATTTTCAAGCTGAGGGTGCAGCATTGTTTTGGACAGAAAGTGTATAAAGCTGATGCAAATGAGAGTTTTAAGTGTTTCTTTTTATAGGTGAAAATTCAACTATTAAAATATAGCCTTAATTTTTTTTATTGAATTTAAAAAATAATAATAAAATAGATAATGCATATTAACTAGCTCCACCTCAACCATATTGAAGCAACGAAAATGTCAACAGTAACTTCCCTAGGTTAAAGCATTTGCAACAGAACATTAAACAATAGGATGAAGTACACACGGTTACTCATAAATTGTAATAAGAATTCGAGCACCTTTCTTAGGCACGCTAGTTTACAATCTTATGACCTGGTGGCGTTATGATGCACCACCGCGGTAATGCCAGCAGAAGACAGCATTTCTCTGAACAGAGCATGCTGCATCTGTTTCAGAATTGGTCACCTTCTTCGTGTGCCATAGCATGTTTTTGCTGCGATAGCAAACGTAGCCCAACTCGCATAGCGTGCAGTAGTTTACGAGTCAATATGCTCACGTTATCCCACAAATGGTGATGGTGCAAGGGTTTCTGTGGTGGATCTTTATTCAAAATTATTTTTATCTAAAGCTTCTTTTGCATTAATAACGTGACACGTTTTGCACTGTCCTGCTGAAACATATAGTGCAACTGACGTTCCAAGTTAAAAAAAACAAAGAACAGAAACATAGTGCTACTTACCAAGTCACGAGTCAGACACTCTCAGTGATTTTTGCCCTTCACCCTTTATTCCATTACCACCATGCATCAAATCAACAAGTTTGTATCGTTAAAAAAGGAAAATCGATAGCAAGAAAATCCTATATCATTAAGAAAAGTGAGTTTCCCATTTCAGGCTCTGCAAAACATCCCCAAGTTTGTTCAAAATCAACATCTATGCCTACTTCTAGTTTTCAAGTCAATAGCTAATATAAGGAAACACCACCGAGTACTTTTTCAGCACTCTCATTTTCAAAATGCCAAAGATCTACGCCAATATTCACTTGCATTTTAATTAATGCTCTCGTTTTTGTTGGGTGACCAAATTGAAATAGACTGTCCAAAGCTGTGCTTTTCCACTGCTTATAAGTTGGTGCTAAAAGTAATTGCATTAACGATTGAAAACTCTCTTTCTTATGTTCATGCATGCGCCATGGATCAAAACATTAGTAATTATGATAATGAGATATGAGATATCTCTTAAAAGCATCAAGATATCATCACTCTAAGGCTCTTCATAATACAGAATATTCATTGTACAATAGTTGTCATGATGTACACGATCTGTGACTTCTGGGTAACTTTGTATGACAATTTTATCATTTACTCAAACCAAAGTCAATAATTCCTCCATGCTAGCTTCTAAACTACAAATGAATCATAAAAATTGATACAAATGGGACTTTCATTTAGTATCAGCAATAGAACATTAAACACACAGGGTGAACTTGACAGCTTACTTGTAGTTAGAAATCTCAGTACACTAGTTTACAGTCTCATGGCCCAGTGATGTTATGTAGCAGCAACATTGCCAATAGAAGACGCAACGTTTCTCCGTACAGGCGGGTTGCTTTCTTCACATAAGAAGAATTCCATTCCCCACCATCCTGAGCACAGTATCCATGGGATACTCCCCACCATAATCTTCCTCCAAACCTTTTGCATCTCCATTGTCACACCCACAACAAGATCCGTCACTTTTCCCACCGAAGTGTTCTCCACCAACCAGCCAAATCCCCAAGCGCAATCTCCGCCTCAAAAGGCGTCAACAATGGCTTCTCTGTCAATAGAAAGAATAGGACAAGCAATTTGAATTCAAGTATCAACCGAATCCTCAAAAAAAAAAAAAAAAAAGAGATCCTAAACGCACTAATACATCAAAACAACCGTATAATCAAAACCTTTCTCCCTCATCTTCCTTTTCAACCCCTCCAATATCCTCGGATTCCCTTGCCTTCCTATTGTCCTCAGAAAAAACCCCCAATTTCTCGCTCAATCCCTTGGCTACTCTCTATATCGCCTTTTTCGTCACCTCCTCCACTCCCTTATGATCATACTCCTCCAAAAACAACTTCCATAAATATGGGTTATACCTAAACGCCTTAATCCCCGGATTCGCAATCGTAAATTTTTCTAAATGAAACGCTCCAAATACCAAAACCAAATTCCCAGCAACATGTTTAGACATATTGGTTGCCAAAACCTCTCCGGCCGATAAGGGTTTCGATTGCGGGATCAAAACAACTAAATCATTACTCAAATTCAGGTTTGGCTTCCCTAATCGCCGAAGGAAACTGAATGGTGCCCGCGAGTACAATATTTCCTTGGGGCTCCCAAAATTGAGGTTTATGGTGTTGATCGATTTTGATTTCACATGCTGTTTGTTGTTTGTAACATGTGAATTTATAAGCTTAAATTAGTTTTTTATATTTGAGAATATTAATTAAAGTTTTAAATAGAATTTATAAAAAAAATGCAAAAACTAATGAGATTTGCTGAAATAATTTCTTTTAAAATTTTGGTTATTTATAATATTTCAAAAATATTTTTTTTTGACATAGAATACAAATTACTTGATTAAACACGATCTAAAAAAGTTAAAATCAATTAGAAAAAAGAACATGGACAATCTAAAAAAGTTAAAATCAATTAAAAAAAAGAACATGGACTTATGATCAAATAGCAAACTCTTTCAAATGAGTTTTATCTTCAAATAATTAATTTTTATTATTAAATACAATCTAAATAAATCTATTTATATTAGGTAATTTAAAAAAATTGAAAAAATTAATAAAAAAGTTTTAAATCAAATAAAAAAATAATTCTAAATCACCTATAAAAATATTACAAATCTTGAACAATAACATTCGAGCTTTATCATAAAGCTTTTATGATGTGTGATCATTATAAAATTTTAACTTTATAAAAAACAAAGTTTTTAAAATTTTATGATAAAATCTTAATTTAATCTAACAGTCATACCAAAACTTCTTCTCATTAACCTAAATTACACCTTAAAAAAATAAGTTCAAACTGCATGTAAATAGAAAAACAAGTTAAATTTATAATTCTTGTTAGAAATAAGTCCCAAGTATCTTGAATTAGCTCATTGAATATCTCTTTAATCTTTTTAGTTTTTAATCCTGTAAAATGCTTAATTGACTAATATAAATTGATCATATGATGTTGTTTGATGATTCTTATTATTTTTTCTCTTCTAAAAAAGATTTGACCATGACTCATTTCACCTTACTTGAATGTTAACTTATTTTTAGAAGATATAATTAAAAGGTGTAAAAGATGTTAGTAATAAACCTCACACGCTTCCTTATTATTATTATCATGCCCTCTTGTTTTTTACCATTCTTAACTCCCCCTTTAGTTTTTTATTAAACTAAACAAAAATTTATCAAAAAATTTCAACTTGTGAAGCTCAACTAATGAATGAAAAAAGACAAGACAATCAAGAGAACAAAAATGAATTCAAGAACAAATCAACGGAACCCAAAATCAAAGCTAAAAAAAACCTAAATTTAACATAAGATAACTCAATAAAATTTATTTTTATATGAGATTTTGCTAAGGCTACCTATTCTAACTAAACAAATTTTAATCAACTTGATTTTTTCTCTTTGATATATATATAAGTTGAATACTAAATTGATAGGCGACTATTTCCTCTTTTTTTTTTTATTAATGAAATCACCAACTAAAAAATACCATGAAAGCTCAAATCAAAAGCACAAAAAAACTAGAATTAGAGTAAAGACAACATAAAAAACCTAACAATGAAAAACAAGACTTAAGACACGAAGTAAACTAAGTTTAAAGATAGATAAATAAAACTTGATTTTAGAGTTAAGCTTTTATACTAACCAATGCCTACCTGAAGAGTAAGAACCCTAGAACCCATAATAAAGATTGAACACAACCCAAGAAAACTAGAATGAAGTTGAAAAAAACTTGATTTAATAATTACCTAAACCAAAGAACCATAGTTATTGGATGAAAACTCTGACTTATTGATTATAACAAATCAAAAATCATAGGTATAAAATTCAAAACCCAGAACCATTGATTATAACGAATCAAGAACCAAATTTATAAGGTTGAAAAGCTTGACCCATTAATTATAACAAACCAAGAACCGAAGGTATATTGATGAACAACACAAAGAAGTGATTTTTGATAAGTTTTGAAAATTCCATGAAGAACTAAAAGTAAGAAAAAACTCACATACAAGTTTTATTTTTGAATAATCAATCCATATTCTTAAATACAAGCTGACTAACTCTATTTATACTAGGTAAAACATCATAAATAAGGTTGTAAAAATAACAAAAATATCTAAATAGAATAGAAAAAAAATCATAAATTAACTATGAAAAATATTGTAAATCACAAACAATAACATCTAGGCTTTATCACAAAGTCTTTCCAATACTTGATAGCTATAAAATTTTAACCCTATAATAAACAAGATCTTTATAATTTTCCAATTAAAGTTTAGCCCAATCCAATAGTCGAATAAAAAAATATACTTATTAACATAAAACTACACATTAGAAAAATAAGCTCAATCTGCATGCATGTAAAGTCATGATAAATCACAAAGAAGATATTGAAAAACATGATGAAAATTTGATAGAAAAGACTTGATAAGGAAAAATATTAAATAAAATATTTGGATACCTTGAAAGTTAACCTATAGATGTTAATAGTTGGGGCATAAAACTATAAACCCTTGGTCTAAACTTAATAAATATGAATTTAATAAGAAAAGTATTAATTGAAAAATAACAAAATAGAGAGAAATTATTGGGGGAATTGGAATAAACACTCTTAGGTGATTAATTTAAATGTCAAGTGAGATAAAGAAATAAATCAATATGCAAAATATTAAATAACGATAAATCATGTGAATTTCCTAACTGGTTATGATAATTATTGGAAGGAATAAATTTTGCACTCTTGAGTGATATTATTTCAAAATAGGGGGAAATTTATAATAAGTTATCGCATGATCCCCACGCGAGAAAAGTTAAATATCGATACAAGCTCATTTAATAACCGTGTT